GGTCTGTGGGGCGCAGGTTCCCTGGGAGGGGATGAGGTGGTGGTTGGGCCATGCGCAAGTTCTCCTTGATGTAGCTTCCCCTGTTCTATTATTTTTCTTAATGTTTGGGTACAGGCCTGCTATTTTCAGCGTCTTCTGGCACTCGGTGATTAATTATTTGCTCCCGTCCTCCTGGGTTTTTTTGGTTAATATCGACAGGAAACGCCTTTGCTGTAGTTACCACTGGTCCTTTATGTTTATACACGGCTGAAGAGCGTAGCTTTAGTCTCTTCCAAAACTGCCGTGGCCCGGTGACATACTAAGGCGTTTGTCTCATAATTGAGTTGAAAAACTAATAAGAGTAGTTACCAAACTCCATGTGGCTTGTTTTTTGTTGGTTTTTTTTTTTTCCCCAAAAAGTTGTTATGTAATCTTGAGTGAGTAAAAAAAAACCCAACCCTATAAAGTGATAAAACTTTCCAAAGTTGACTTTTAAGTATAGTACTTAAGGTACTTAAATACTTTATAGTGTTTAATTTGGTATTTTAAGATCTTGTCTGGAAAATTTGACCAGTGGGGAAATAGAACAAGAGGGCCGTAAACTTCTGGAGAAAATTCCTTTTTTTTTTTTTTTTTTTTTTTAATGAGGCTTTTGCAGTTTCTATAACTTAACCGGTTAAGAATAAGATAAATTTTCTTGTAAAAGGACTTGAAGAATTATGGGCCTGTAGTTTTGCACCTAGATTACAGGCACTGTGTTTGAGGTACCTCTCAAGTAGTAGGTGAGGGGCTCGTTCGGTCATACTGAGAGCCTCTGGCCATCTGTGAAGTGAGAACTGTCTCGCAGAAGTCTCTTAGATGTTTTTTTCTGCTGCCTGTGTTTTTGTAGAGCTGAGAGGTTTCTCTAAGGTGCACTGTACACAAGGGCATTAATGAGCAGCAGTGTGTATAAATAATGAGACTGGTAGCCTTGGAAGATGTGGCAGTAGCCTCGCTTTCAGTTGTGTACTCTGTTTAAAAGCACAGTTAACTTAGACTGTTAGCTGGTATTTTCCTTATCCTTCTCAATTAACTTTGAAACGTAAATTTATAGAAATCTCAAAATTCTTTTGAAACTTCTAGCAGAGCCTTTTGGAAACTAGATGAAGGCAGGTACTGAGTAGGAGGGGGGAAGTGTAGATAAGTAGATTAAAGATAGATGTGGAATGCTAGGGGTTATGATGGCTAAGATCACAAATAGGGGAGTCAGTTCTTGCTCTTGTATAGTTTTCAGGACGGTGGGTGGTGGATCAGCAGTATTCACAGTGTCAGGGAGACTATATATAGTTGAAGCTCAGCTGCAGATGCAAGCTGAAGTGGTCAGTGCTCTTGTCCTTATGCTGGTGTGGGTTTTTTATTGGTATGTATATATATACACTGTATATTAGTATACCATGTGAATGGAGAAGTGAACAGCTGCTTTCTCTCTCTTAAAGAGTTTTTTGCTATAGAGGTATCTTTGTACAGGTTCAGATTAGTAAAGAATTGGGCAGACTAAACAGCAGTGGCTGAAATATAAATCCAAATTTTTATTTTTAGCATGTTACGAAGGAAGCCTACCACTGATACATAATATATGAACGACAGTCTGTAAGATCTGTTGTGGTTTAATAAAAACTGGCTGCTTTGTTTTCAAAGTAATTTATATAAATCGGCATTTGAGAGGTTTTTACATGTTCGGTTTGCAAATAAAACTGCAGCTGGTAGAAAACCATGCAAGTTTGAGTCCTCTGCTATGCTAAAATATCTTAATGAATATAATTTCTGGGCCAGCTTATGTCCTTGGTGAAATCTGCAGCAGCAGCACAATGTTTAAAGGGTTTGATGATGACTGCCATTTACCTGACCAGAGTGAGAGTCCCGTGAATCTATAAAGGCATTAATGAAAGCACATTCACCTTTTCAGTGTGTACTTTGCCCATGCTGTTCCTTTCGCTGCATTGTACACCAGTTGTACACATTTACTTCTCCCAGCACTGAATCCCAAAGTGGTCTTGACTGCTCTACACAAGAAAAGTTTCTGGGTTTAGTCCTCCTAGATCAAGGCTTGGAAGGGATGGAGGGAGCATCTTGGGTTTTGTCATCTAAGAAAAATGTAGTACAGGAGTTTTTGGGACAGGTGGGTGTGACCTGACAAATACACATTTGTGCATAGAGATACTATTTAAGTTTTTTTCCTTATTCAAAAGTTAGGTAACACTAATAAAATATCTCTCATGTCATTTGTCTTCAGAATTCATTCTTCACTTAAAAATGCTCTGGGGATTTTGTTCTGTGCCTCAGTAATGCCCTAACTTGTGAGGTGTCTTAGATCTGTTGGGACAGTCTTGACCTCAAGTAATCTTAGTTATGTATATGTTAAAAGGTAGTTGACCTGCAAACAACACTGTTTAGATGAAGCTGGATTGGAGTTTCATCTTATTGTTGGTCTCAAAATTGCACGGAAAAAGTAAAGTACAGTCTAATGTAGTGGGAGAGGTAAATGTTACTATGTATTAGTTCGCTTTAATGAAGTCTTGAAAAATCAAACTATGCAATGACACAGTTCATTGCAAGTTTATCAAGCTATTGCCTAACTAATAATGGGATGGCTACTCACAAGATTGTCTTTACAGAAAATAATTTTGTGTGTCTCCAGAGGAAGTACTGCATTTTTCTTCTTGGTTTTCAGTCCTAAGTTTTTGGGTTTTAAACATTCTGTCTTTGTGTGTAGGGTAGTGACACAGAACGAGATGGAGTAGCCCCAGAAAAGTCTTCTCCAGAAAGAGAGAAGAAAAAGGAACAATCAGATGCCTCTAGTTCTCCCAGAACATCAAAACATCATTATTCAAGATCACGCTCACGGTCAAGGGAAAGAAGGCGGAAGTCAGGTATGGTCTTCATGTCAGTAAAGTTGCTTAAATAACGTTCTGCTATATGCTTGTAGAACTGAAATTTTTTAAAGCTGTTTTGGAGAAAATACACAGACGTAGCTTGAGTAACTTGTTAGAATTGGGAAAAACTGAAGCTACGAATTTTGATTTTGTACCTTAAATGTGTTATATTGAAACTTTTAAATTTTAATAGTAGAAGTGCTAATGATAAAGATCTTGTCAGTGTTTAGGGCATGGGGGCCAGGGGGGACAACACCAAACAGAAACCCATACTACTTTGTCTGCATTCTAATTGGATATGCTTAGGCTGGGATACTTTTGCATGGTTCTAACAAAAATACTGTTACCTGGCTGAGGAATGTGACTGGAGTATGACATAGACTAGTTTTTCACTGTCACGGCTTAAATGCAGACAAAGAACTGGTAATAACAGGTAGAGTTTGCTCTCTGCAGTAGCTACTCGAATAGTGTGGTTTGTTTTCTAAATCCCTATTGGGGGTGGAATAACTGAAAGAACTAGAAAGATTATAGTCAGCTGATCTCCTTGGTAAAAAACAATAAATGTTTTCTTCTCCAGATACTGAAGGAAGAAAACACAGAAGCCGGAGCAGAAGCAAAGAGGTAATTAATACTTTGTAGCGTTTAGGTAATTGTACAATACATCTTAAAAAGTATCTTGTAGTAGTGCACATATGTGTAAACATATATAAATGACTTTATGGTAAGTACAAGAAATTTGAAACTTTAAGCTTAAAAATGGATATGGAGATCCTTTCATAGTGAAGCATGATTGCAGCCATCATGTTGACAGGTAATAGTTCTATAGAAAAATGCTTTCAGAAACTAGTAACTTTTTTTTTTTCTGTGTGTGTGGAAGCAGCCAAAAGAAAAAATTCATGTGGAGAAGTAGAATGGTTTTCTTGATGACTTTTCACAGAGCTTCCATTAACCAAAAGCCTTGAGTGGCTTTATTCCTGGCCAGTGTTCAGGACTTTCAGTGATACATACCCATCTATTTAAGTATATTAAAAATAATTCCCCACCTGACTGAGCTCTGTTTATTGTGTCCTTTAATTGTAAAGACACTCACAGCTTGACATACAAGCTGAGTCAGCTGGAAACATGACAGTAGCAGCAAAGATTTGAGGGCTGTCTTTTTTTTTTTTAATATGTTTGTGTATATATAGGGGAATGAGAAGAGACAGCATCAATTAATACTTTGAAAATAACTGGTTTACACACCAGAGAAGAGATGAAACAAGCAAACCAGCATCATCCAAGTAATCACAAAGACGCTTAAGCCATGTGGGGCAATAGCAGGCTCGGTCAGATGAGGGACTTTCTTTTAACCTGGGTCAGGAACTTCTCCTTTCATTCCAATGGAAGCTCTGTTTAAAAAAGGAGGAAAAGAGAAAAAGAAAGGGAAAAAAAAAAAGGAAAACAAAAATAATCTAGGAGAGTATTTGTGAAATTGAATATATTGTTTAGCTCACATGATAACATTTCTATAATAAATCATACTCAGCGTGCTAATGCGCGAAGAGACTGAACTGAAGACGCTGCAGACTCAGATAGCAAAATTATAAGCCTACTTCATGATAAGGTAACTATTAGTCATTCAAACTCCTATTTCCCTTAAAAATATCTTAAATCCGTTATGGGATATAATGGTGGTTTATTACTGTGTACCTGGAAGACATGATTTAAAAAAAAATCTTTTTAATGTTTAAAACCAAAAAAAAGTCCTCGCTTAAACTGATGTCCAGTGTTTTGCCATGCTGTTGGGTCTAATCTTACGTTTTGTTTAGCAGTTTCTAAGTTTCACGGAGTGAACAGATGAGGAACCACATAGTAGATTTACTGTTACTAATTTGCAAGATCAAGCTCTTTGTCTGTAGACTAAATACTGATATATCGGTAATTCTTCTTAATATGTATATCAGAAGAACTACTTACATAAATATAGAACTAAAATTAACGTATGGGTAACATCTCAAACTTCAGGTGTGTTTTTATGTGACTGATTATTTAAGGAGTTAATAAAATACTGTAAAAGCAGGAAAAAATCTAACATTGTATACTTGAAGAACTATAATGAAATATATTTATAAATGGATACATATCAATAAGGAGTTAGAAAAGCTTGGATAAATGGCTATAAGTTAATTATAGCATCTTCTCCAGATATTTCTTTTGACAGAGAGTAATGATTATGGGAAAGGTTTTATGAGTAGTTAGATTTAAGATAAGCAAAAAAGACCTCAAGAATTGGGTTTTAGTCTAAAATTAATGTTTTGTGCTTAAATTCTGATGAGAAACAAAACATTACTTAAACATAAGACTTAAGCGGGCTATGCTTTTGTGCTAGAAGGATTTCAAAATAAACTAGGTATATTGAGAAAAGGTGTTGATGTCATGACTTAGTCTCTAAGGAAAACACTGGCAAAAATCAAGCCTGACCTTGCTAAGTATTTTTGGCAATGCGGCTATAAAAAGGAATCTTTTTTTAAGAGGCACCGCAGGAAGAAATTGCAGTATAGTGGAGCAGTATATCTTTAATTTAAAATTACTGTGGGAGGTCTGAGAGTGATGCATGTTGGTTTTAAATACTAAAACTGGGATGCCAACCATGTAACTTAACTACTTTGCTTTTTCAAAACTGTTAGAAGTTACTGGCTGACAAGAGTTCTGCTCTAAAAATTAGTTACCTAATGATGGATAAAAAATAGTTTTAGTTTTAAAAGCAAAATAGTCTGCAACTATATATGGATTTTAGTAACTTTCTACATGGTAGGCTTAGGCAAATATTAAATATTCACTGTAAATGTGAGCTTGTGTGCATATGCATATTCATAAATTGCCAGGTACTTAACAGATAAGTACTTAACTACGTGTTTGGAATGGAAACATTGACTGCGAATGGCCGTTGGTTTTGTTAACAATGGTGTGAACTCTGACATGGAAACACTGTAAAGATACCTTGATGGATGCTTTAGAAATCCTTTAGACAGTGGGGAGGAGGGAAAAGGGGGGAGAAAATCATAGTGTACATTTGCAAGTTGGGATAGTTGGTGGCATTAGGTAAAATAGCCATCACTGATGATTGAGTCACACTCCTAAGGTTACTAATGTTGCATCACAACTTATCATTTTTTATCTTCTGATGCCCATACTAACTCTCTTTGTTGCACTATTTTCCTGAAAGAACCAACTTCTTCTTAAAACAGGCAAGAAGACATGAATCCAAAGAGAAGTCCTCCAAGAAGCACAAATCTGAAGACCACAATGACAAAGAACATTCTTCTGACAAGGGAAGAGATAGCCTAAATTCATCTGAAAATGGTGAGGATAGACATAAACGCAAAGAGAGAAAATCATCAAGAGGGAGGAGTCATTCAAGATCCAGGTCTCGTGAAAGGTAAGTTGTTTTACGTGATTATTCTTTAATTGTATTTGCAAAAGCAGCCTTTGGAATTTGTGTAGACTTCTCAAGTGCAGCTAAACTATGTTACTGACCTACTTTAAAGTGTCAGTTCATGTTGTATGTTTCAGTTTTCATTGGGTAGGGCATTTGCTGCTACTTGGGGTTGGGGGGTCAGGTTGGTTCTGAGTAAAAGTACAAAATATCTAAGACTTTTGACTTTTTATAGGTGATTTGACTCGTGTTTATAATTAGCATACAGAGTATAGAAAATGTATAAACAGTGTGTATTAAATGTTCCGTGTTGTCAGTGACAGGAAAGAATGAGGTATGAATGAGGTTCAACAAGGCCAAGTGCTGAGTCCTGCACTCTGGTCACAACAACCCCCTGCAGTGGTACAGGCTTGGGGACAAGTGGCTGGAAAGCTGCCTGTCAGAAAAGGACCTGGGGGTGTTGGGCGACAGACAGCTGAATATGAGCCGGCAGCGTGCCCAGGTGGCCAAGAAGGCCAGTGGTATCCTGGCCTGCATCAGGAACAGTGTGGTCAGCAGGACCAGGGCAGGGATTGTCCCTCTGTAGTTGCACCAGAGGAGGTTTAGATTGGAGATTGGGAAAAATTTATTCACCGAAAAGGTTGTTGATCGTTGGAATGGGCAGCTCAGGGAGGTGAGGGAGTCACCATCCCTGGAGGTATTTAAAATAGGTGTAGATGTGGTGCTTAGGGACATGGTTTAGTGGTGGACTTGGCAGTGCTGGGTTAATGGTTGGACTTGATCATCCTAAAGCTCTGCGGTTCTATTATTCTGTGCTAAATCAAGAGCTTACCCAGAGACAATGCTGTCCAAGCCTCCTTGCACAATAGACCACCTAGGGTGCTCTGGTGTTAGGAGACTTGCTTGGGACAAACAGCCTGCTGCCAGTGGAACTCTTTGGCTGGCTCTGCTGAGGGATCTGTAGCAAGCATGATAGCAAGGAAAAAGCTTCAGGTAATAATATGTTGAGGGACTACGTGTGACTCAAACTGAAATTTGTGCATCTTCCCCTAAGTTACTGGAATATCATGGGGAGAGTTTTGTTGCCTTGAACTTAAGACTCCTGGATCAGATTAGTTTGGCTGTGTATTTGTTTTGAGGTGTACACTTTAAATGAACAACTGAAAATAGCTATGGTGATGAGTATGTTTGTTTATGTAAACTGTCTTGTGGCTGGTGGTAGTGGTTCCTTTTCCATTTCATCTCCTAGTCTTACAACTTAAACTGCTCCAGCCATGAATTCTTCCATGTGTAGTTTGCAGTCTGCCCACCCCGCCCAGTGCATTTTGCCCTGTGGTGACAATCTGTATGTAAGTCCTTAAGCTGAAGCTGAATTTAAACATGAGAATATATGTAAGAATTTGGGACGTGTGTTTCAGACGCCATCGTAGTAGAAGTCGTGATAGGAAAAAATCCCGATCTCGCAGCAGAGAGAGAAAACGACGTTTAAGATCTCGTTCTAGATCAAGATCTAGACACAGGCATAGAAGTAGAAGTAAAAGCAGAACTAGGAGTAGAAGCAGGTAAGTGTTGACTTCCTCGTACACTTCGTGGTGGTGGTTGGGTGAATGTTCTGTGGCATGCTGATGTGTAGAAGAATGTTGGGTTTGCCAATTAATGTCAGTTCAGTGAAACTAAGTATGCTTTGCTTTTTCTCAGCTGTGTTGATACAGTGGGTTAAGGACTGGGTAGTGTGCACACACTTACAGAAACATTTGTCCTAGACAGCTTAAGTGTCTCATTCTCAGCTTTTCGTAGCATGACTTCTTAGCAATTAGAAATGCTTAGCTAGTTATTTTGTGGGTATCATATATACCATCATTTTGGAACTTCTGACTGATAAAGTAGAAGGAAAGTGAATAATATTGTGAGTAGTGATGATTACTGCAGTTCAAGCTCTTTTTGGTTTCCTATACTACAACTGAATTTACTATTTTAAATGGAATATTTAAATTATTTTTAAGTAGGAAAAAATGAAGAATAAGATACAACTAACCCTTTCCTGTGTTGATACAAGAGTAGTGTGCTGGCAAAGCACAGCACTACTGTTGTATTTACCTCTCTTTGTTTGTGTATGTATCATAGAAGGGAAGTTTAACAGGAAATCAGTCTGTCACGCTGATCAGAAGCTAATCCTGATCAGCTCCACAAAGGCTATTTTCAAAATTTCCCTGTGTGTGAGGTAGCACCGTTAGTGTAGCATCGAGGTGAATTTTGAGTCATATGGACTATTTCTGATCTGAATTTATTATTCTGTTAGTCAATTCACAACTCCCTTTTTGTGAAGTTCAACATGAGAAAGTTTATCATGTTAATTTTTCTTCCTGTATGGAGTGCTTTCGTTTCTTCCTTAAATTCTAGAAGCACAGATGAAACACTGTAGCTACACACGTGCTGGCTTATTCTGGGTCTGTTTGACAGAACTGAGATCTGTACCTCACCTGGAACATGTTAGAGCTGAGGTTTTCATCACTGTACAGGAGTGAATGTTTTCCAGTACTGTTGAATCATTTGGTATTTTGGTGTAGAGTTCTATTTGTATGTGTCACTTTTGCATTCTTAATGCTGTGCAGGATTTTCTGAACGAGCAAGCAGAAATACAACTTAACAACTAGTACAACTCTGATTTTTTTCCCCGCATACCTGTTTAAAGTAAAACAAGTAGTTTGAATGCAAATCGGTGTCCCTTCAGAGCTCCAAAGAAAGTGTTGCCAGTGTTCCAGTTAATTTAGTAATATTTTCATTAGATTATTTTAAATTGCATATTTAAAGGGTGTAGAAGTTGGTTATGACTACTCACCATTATGGTGGATCATTGGAGACTTAAGAATCTAGCTCATTCATGTAATACTACGACGACAGTTGTGAAACTTAAGAAGACTTATCTTTCTGAAGAACTAGTTGAAGTACGTGGTTTGTGTCATATTTTATTTTGGTATGCACTTTCTACCGAACTTTCAGCTGGGGTGAGTAGAGCTGGGTCTTCAGCTGGTATCTGTTACTTACCTGTAATGGTGTTTAAGCCGTCTTCAGCATGACGTATGTGTAAGCCTTCAGTTACCCCTTATTTCCAGTTATAGATGATGTGCACTTACTGTTTCTAAAAGTCACTTTGAACATTTTGTGTTTAATGGCTCTATGGAAACTTCACATCCCAGAATAATTTTTTTGCTTCTGCAGTGGAGTTCAAATTACCTGAACAGCAGATGTGGAAGACAAAGTAAGGGATAGTCATAGCTTAGGAATGTCTTCAACTGGAAACATGCCTTCTTGGATAGTGGTAGCAAGAATCCATTTCTTTTGAGTACTGTTTTTGTCTCACAAATCCTAGAGGAGGAAAGCAACTGGGGCTTTGTCTTTTTTTAAACAGTAGCTAGTAAACTTCATCAAGTTACAGGCTCAGGTGAAGCCTTTGGAAAGAGAATTTATGGGGCAAGACTCAAGGAAACCTCTTCACAAGCCAGATAAACATGGATGTGGAAACCTGTTAAAACTCAACTGTGAAATTAATTCCTTCCTTCATGAAATACAATATTTGTGTTAAAGTTAACAGGCTATGACAGAAGCATCTGTAAATAGTGGAGCTTGACCTTCTCTTGATGGTTCTTTACATAATCTCAAACTCATGTTTTCAAGTGATCTGTCCTCACTAGCATTTAAACTAATCCTTTTGTCCTGTGAGTGTGTAGACCCTCCCGGCAGTTCTTATGTGGCGTTGCTCTGATTAAATGCTAGGTGACACCATCTGCTTGTTTCAAATGGAAATACTTCCGTACAAAAGCTCAAATATTTATTTCCTTGATGTTTACCAGTGCAATAAGGCATCAGACCAAAGACAAGACCAAACTACAATAGTCAGCCCGGGAAAAATGAAGGTATCTTTGAAACATGCATTACATCTTATCTAAGGAATGCAGATTTGTCACTTCCCAGTGCCTGAATCTGCATCTTGTCATCTGCTATGAAAAGATAAGTCTCACCTCCTTTGTATTCTACCAGATTTGTCATGTAAACAAGGATCACTTTTTGTAACCTCAGCCTCCATTTCATGATGTTTGTGGATGCTGCCCAAGTTACAAACAGAAGAAACAGACTGTCAGAGTGCCATTTAAAGTGGCTGTTGTCAAGTTAGCTGTTATGTCTAATGGTTGATGATAACATTTAAGTATAAAATTGAGGCATCTTAGTGTATCTCAACTTACCGTTTATGGCAAATCTGGGAAAAAATGTGAGTGGTATCCCCTGTAATTTAAACTTGGTTGGATGCTTCCAGTATCTGTGACTACTTTGATTAACACATTAGTGTCAGAGGCTTAAACAGGGATAAACCCTTATCTCTTGTAACATAGATATTAATGATCCTGCTGAGAAATACTGCTAATTGTACTTCATTCGTGTGTTTTGAGGGTCTGTTGCTTATGGGACTAGGTGTATATGTCATAACAGCAGCTTATATTTGGGAGGAGGTGGGGAGAACTGAACTGAATATTTTGGTATTTTGCTTAAAAATGTATTTTATCTGGGTTCTTCTCAGGTTGTCAGGCTCCAGATAATGCATGCTTCCTACTTCTCTGCACAGCACCGTCCGCTCAAGAGCAAAGCCGAGACAAATCACGTTTGTTTAGACCAAGCCCCCCACTTAGCTTGATAGCCTCCCTCTAGCAGTTGTCCAAAGCACATTTAGTGGAGGGTATGCAGAGGGGAGAGAAATAGTAATTTCCCCAAGTACTGTTCCAGTTTTTAAATTGGCCTTCTTCTAAATGCTCGCTTTTACAGAATTTTAGTGCTGTGAGGTCTTTCAAGGTTTTAAAGCATTCTTGTAACACGGTCCGTTTTACAGTTCTCTTGCAATTGACTTTACCCAACGTTCTGCGAGCGTGTTTTTCTTGTCAGGTTTTAGAATGAATCTCTAGAGCAGAGCTATTTGTTCCAACCACTAAGTATAAGAGGGTAAATGAATACCCAGAATTACACATTGTTACATCTTGTAGTTGGAAATCTTCAGTTTTAGCTCTTTGCTGTTACAAGGCAAGTGTGAGTGTTGCACTGTTGTAGTATAATCTCTGTGAAAGCTGTTCTTGAGACCCCTCACAGAGTGGCTTTTCAGTTGTGATCAAATACTTTATGAAATGTCAAGGTATATATGTAGCTTTATTGTTTTAGCAACTCTGTTGAATTTGGTTACAGGGAGAGAAAGAAAAGAATTGAGAAGCCCCGAAGGTTCAGAAAAAAACGGAGTCCAAGTCCTCCACCTTTTCGGGGACGAAATACAGCTATGGATGCACAGGAAGCATTAGCCAGAAGGTCAGAAATTGTTATTTTAATGATACGTGACATAAATAAGCTGCTGCTGTTGGTTTTGCATGTCTAAATAGTTATTCTTATGTACTTTCTTCTAGACTGGAAAGAGCAAAGAAACTGCAAGAACAGAGAGAGAAAGAAATGGTTGAAAAACAGAAGCAACAGGAAATGGCTGCAGGTAATCCACCTATATTGCATTAATTCCTAAACAATAGTGTGAGTAGAAGCTATTGTGGACTTGCGTGATGCCTGTTACAGTCCCGTCCAACAGATGTGCAGGTTGTCTTTGTAAGTGAAATTGTTAACTTGGTCCATATATAAGAACCATAACCAGAACACATTTCAAAAAGACCCAGCAAACACAAAACCCCAACAATACCTTGGCAGGATTTCTTATCGCTTACTGAGTTAACGCCTTGGTAACAAAAATGTTGTATGGTCGGCTGGTAAATGATTTTGTGGTGGTTATTGGACCCTTCCTTTATGGATCATTAAGCAAGAGTTTGAACGCTGTTGCCAGCTCGGGTATTGTGAAGCAGAGGTACATTAGTTTCACGTTTAGTTCTGGTTTGTGGAAAGGACTGAAGACTACTCTCTTAATTTACAAATGACATGTATGTTATCGTGCATTTGTTACTAGACATTTTCAGCTTATTTCTGATGAAGGGAAGTGTTTGGGGTTTTGATACTGGGGTTTTTTTCCTCAGAAAGTCTAAACTCATTGTCTAATAGCAAGTTATCTATCTTCATCAGCGGCTGCAGCCACCGGAGGTTCCGTTATTAATGTTGCTGCTCTTCTGGCATCGGGAACACAAGTAACTCCTCAAATAGCGATGGCAGCTCAGATGGCAGCACTACAAGCAAAAGCACTGGCAGAGACTGGAATAGCTGTACCTAGCTATTACAACCCAGCAGCAGTGAATCCAATGAAATTTGCTGAGCAAGAGAAAAAGCGGAAGATGCTTTGGCAAGGCAAAAAGGAAGGGGTAACGTTGTCCTTTCTTACTTTCATAAAACTGGTTTGGAAACATCTTGCACTCAGACAGGTTAAGGATGTGTATTGTTATTAGCAGCAAAGTTACTTTCATACATGTTACAAAATTTCCCTGTTAGCAGCTAAAACTTTGAGAGAGGGGACTAAGGTAACTTCAGTGACAAGTGTTTGTGACACAAGCCTTAGGAAAATCCCTAATGTCATAAAACTGAAGAGGTATAATTGGATCTAAGTGTTATTTTTGTCAGTTTGCCTACGACTTGAAACTAAATGTCAAATATAGATGGTCTGTTTTTACTGAAAAGAATGGCTGAGCTATAGAAACAATAACTGACCACTCCTTTCTGTGACCCTAGACATTTTTCATTTCATATCCTGTCTAATTCCAGACTTCAAAAACAAGTCTGCCAACCTTGCGGGTAGCTTTTCAGGAGTGGAGTAATGCATTACTAACACTAAGAAAAGATAGAAATACAAATAAGCCTTCAAACCTTTATCCTCTGTCAAATAAATGCTCTTGCAGTTAACGCAGTGTAGGCCACCAATCATAGAATCATAGAA